CTCTCTCTCTCTCTCTTTATCTATTATCATGTTATCATTTCGAATTATAACAATTATTGCATATTCTATGAATTGAATTCAATATAAATTATTAATTAAATTAAATTTCAAATTAATTTTTTTCTTTATCTATTATCATGTTATCATTTCGAATTATAACAATTATTGCATATTCTATGAATTGAATTCAATATAAATTATTAATTAAATTAAATTTTAAATTAATTTTTTTTTTTTGTTTTTGCTATCAAAATTATCATTATTATTTTTCAGCATGGTACAAATAAAATTCCATTACGAGCAAGTATTTTAATGATGCTTATAGCATTCATTTTTATATTAATTGATGATTTAAATCAATTAGCAATTCTCTCAACAATGCCATTTTTAATAACTTATGCTTTTGTTAATTATTCCTATGTTTCATTGGCGATGAGTTATGATCTTCAATTTATCAACAAATTCAAGTATGATTTGTTTAGTTAATCTTTTTTTCCCTCACTCTTTTTTTACGTGATCCTTACGTAATTATTACGTCATTTACGTCTTCTATTATACAAAAATTACTTTGTATTTGTCTGGTAATAAAAAGACAAAAAATTCCAATTCTACCAATTCTGGACAAAAAATTTGATAGTTTGTTATTGGGAAGGGAAAAAAAAAAACGACAAATTTTATTGTATTCGTTTCTTCATCGTAATCAAACCCTGATTATCATTTTGTTTCTGATACTGCGTGCTACGGTAGACACTGCATGGTACGGTAGACTTAGTTATCGTTTCCATCTTGACACTACGTGGTATGGTAGACATGCGATGATGAGATAGATAGGCGTTTAATTCCTAACATTACAGCGGTACGGTAGACCTAATTATCGTTTCCTCCCTGATACTACGGTAGCAAGGTAGGCCTAATTGTCGTTTCTTTCCTGATAGTGCGATGATACGGTAAGCAATAAATTTTCGGTTAAAGTGTAATTTTTGGTGAATTTTATAAGCTATTCTTTGAGAGCTCATCCAATGCATTACCTGTATTAACCCATTATTGCAACTTTTATAAATTATTAATACTAATTTTTCGATCAATATGGTCTGGCAATTTGAAAATATTAATTTATGCTTGAACAAATTTATTAAATTTGCCATAAAATTGATGAAAATTTCACGTGTTTACATCAAATTAATTTTAAATCCATTTTTATTTTAAATTTGTTTTTCATTTATAATTTCATAATTTCAATTAGTGCTACGACAAAATATGGCAGTATGGGACATTTAAAAGATGCAACAAATAATGGTGAAGATGATTCGGCTGATTTGGGAAAATTATTTTCGGGAAAAAATTTGCATGATTTGCCAAGTACTGATACTGAATTTTTGCATAAATTAATTATATTATTTCTATGTAAATTAAAAAACAATTTCTAAAGATAAGTATATATCATACAGTTTGGGTGATAACTGTTGATAATACTTATCAATAATGTCAACAACACTTGTTTTTAATTCAATTAATTTTTTTGTGGAATATTTTAGATGAAGAAGTAAGTTCCAGTTCCATAATTGGTCAACCGCATACATGGTATTCAATTTTCAGTAATCGCTACATATCATTTATTGGAGTATGTAATTCATTTTTCTTTTTTATTTTAAATATATTTTCCAATATTTTATATATCAATTCGATTAGCGAATATGAATCTAACATAAGTTAAAATGAATATATTTATAAAATAGATTAAACACTCCTCCCTTTTATTACTACTTTGTGTCATAGAAACCAAAAAGAATTAGTTAATTAAATCACATTTATTAATTAGTCTTACTGTTGCTGCTGTTGTTATTGTTGTTGTCGTTGTTATTATTATTGTTGTTATTGTCGTTGTTGTTGTTGTTATTGTTATTATTGTTGCTCTTACTGTTGTGTTGTTGTTGTTGTTGTTGTTGTTGTTGTTGTTGTTGTTGTTGTTGTTGTTGTTGTTGTTGTTGAAGCATCGGTATTCGTGTTCCCTACAAA